CAAGATCTTTTTTTCCCCCACAAGAAGTTGAAATTGATTGATTGAATCTTTTTTTTTTTGCACATGGCGGCGGAGGCCTAAAGTGAAAAGGTTTTATAAAACCCAGCTGAAGGCCTAGTATTGGGGCGACGGCGCGCGTGCCCACAGAGAAGGCTCTGAGTGCCGCCTCTGGCACCCGTGCCATAGGTTCGCCACCACTGCTATAGAGGCTATAGTAATATAATAATATCTAAAACAGATTCTACTTCTTTGTGCATTCTAGTTAGGAATTCTTAAAATGTCTGCTTAATAGTAAAGGTAAAACCATTTTGCCATAAAGGTAAAAACATCTGAGTTTTTTGAATTTGAATTTTATTATATTTATACCCCGCCCTTCTCCCGGAGGACTCAGGGCGGCTTACAGCCAGTTTAAAAACAACTAATACAATACAATACAAAATTTAAGAAAATAATTAAAAATAAATATTTAAATAGGCCGCTTCTACTAAAATTTAGTTAAAACCAATTTAAAATACCCCTAGGCCAGTCCTGCCCNTTAAGGAAGGAAATTTTTTAACAAAAACCTATAAATATTTATTAGAGGTAGATCTGGAGGAAGAAATAGTGAAAGGGCCAATGACAGCATGGGCGAGAAATGTGGGCCGAAATATAAATCTGGAAGAATGGGAAAGATTATGGAACATAAATTGCAAACTGACACTGTCAACTGCATATAGGGAAAATCAATACAAAATGTTCTATAGATGGCATTTAACACCGATGAGATTGGCCAAAATATGAATCCGGAATGCTGGAAATGTAAAAATAAGGAAGGAACATTCTATCACATGTGGTGGCTGTGCCCTAAAGCAAAGAGCTATTGGGAATGGATAAGGAACTGGATACAGGAGATAACCAAGGTGCAAATTGAATTCAAACCTGAACTATTTCTTCTGGGTATAATAAATTTAAAGATCAAAAAGCAACTCCAACACATCATTATACATATATTGACAGCAGCCCGTATAGTATACGCTCAGTGTTGGAAGGGTGAAAACATACCTACAAACGATATGATTATATACAAAATTCTTGAATGCGCGGAAATGAATAAACGTACGCTAGAATTAAAAGACAAGGAGGCAACAGAATTTTATGAAATATGGAACAAATGTTATGATTGGCTAGAACAAAGAAAGAAAAAGACATGATTACTGATGTAAATAAATTGTAAATAATATATATGAGATGTATAACACAGTTTTGTTAAGGGAAAAAATGTATTTTTCAGTTTTATTTTTGTTGTATAGTGAAAAAAGGAAAAATATTTATTTTTTTTTTTTAAAAAAAGGTCTTCAGTCATTCAGCTGTAGTATTCTTCTTTCCTTTTTAGTCCTCTTCCATGGACAGGAAGTATGGATAAAAAAAACCCGCCTTTGTTCTTGACTTTCCTCTTAGATGATCTAGGGAAGTTCTTCCTTGCAAAGTTACATGCCCCCTCATGAATTGGGAGAAGGCATAATTTTATTTATTCAATTAATTTCTACAGCTGCCCATTTCAACCAGTGACTTTAGGCAGCTTATAATTCCATAAATTAGCAGGGGATTTGATACATTTGGGTGATTATTCTTCATATTCTTGATCCATGTTCCTTGCAGGGAGAACAGTTCACAGTGGGTCTGGGCACCACATATTTAT